CTACTGACAACCTACCAACACTCTACTGACCACCAACCAACACTCTACTGACAACCTAGCAACACCTTATGACCACCTACCAACACCCTACTGACAACCCACCAACACCCTACTGACAACCTACCAACACTCTACTGACAACCTACCAACACCCTACTGATCACACCTACCAACACCCTACTGACAACCTACCAACACCCTACTGACAACCTACCAACACCCTACTGACAACCTACCAACACTCTACTGACAACCTACCAACACTCTACTGACAACCTACCAACACCCTACTGACCACCTACCAACACCCTACAGACAACCTACCAACACCCTACTGACAACCTACCAACACCCTACTGACAACCTACCAACACCCTACTGACAACCTGATAACCTATCAACACCCTACTGACAATCTACTGGCAACACTCTACTGATAATCTCAGCAACCTTATGATAAACAAGTAACAGAGCAAAATAAATCTTGAGTTCTATACCTGTTATTTGGATCTAAATGTAAAACAACAGCACCACAGCTGATCAACACAGGATCAGGTGTTTCAGGCACCTCAATATCTGCACAACTCTTTGACTGCAAGATAAGACGACCTTGTCTTTGTACCAAATCAGCATCAAGACCAATAATGCGATAACCTAATGACAGACAAAGTTTTCAGCTGGGTTTTGTTAAGGGAGGAAAAATCAAAAAAGGAAAAAGAACAGATTTTTTGCCTCAACATATAATGTCCTGTTGTCGAGTTCCATATTGATTGGATTAAATCTGGCATTTGACTTACAAACCCTGGCATTTCCTGTCTCTTATATGTGTCCACTATGGCATAACTTTTCATTATTATTTTTATAAGTTGCATTACAGTCAACTCTCTCCTTGCAGACACCCCAATATACAGACACCTTGCTCAGGGTTATCAATAAAATTTYTGGTAGGTGGTTATGAAATTAAAATGGGTGGTAAACCAGAAATCGCTGGAGCATATAATCAAAGCATACTCGTCACCAGTTTCACTCTTCTCACAAGAATTCAAGATGGCTGACAACGATCGTTGTAGTTTCGATTACCATTGCGTTGCAGTTTTCGTAGTACAGCAACAAAGATTGGATTAAAATTTATTTTATTCACACGTTTTGCTAGTTTAAAGAACTTTAATCAACTAACTTAAATYGCTATTATAGACATGAAGTGACGGTCCCTATGATGTCCACTGTAAGAATTGATTCTATATAATATATTCTTAGAAGGGCCTCTAGATTCGAGCAGTGAATTACCCTTTTGAAATAAAGTTCATCTATCTACAGTCAACTGTCATTACTGCAGACACCCTCGGGACAATAACTTGCTGTCCATAATATTGTATATAGTGAATGTACATAACCCACAGTTATTTTTTGTCATTATTTTTCACCAGGGATTTCGCTTCTGTCCGTAACAGCAAGGTGTCCATAATATCAGGGTGTCCTCAAAGCACGAGTTGACTGTATCTAAAATCTCACCTTGTCTCAGCTCCACGTTTTCCATGATCCTAGTGTTCAATATTTGAAGAGAACCATCAACCCTTGTGCAGTGCAAAACAAATGAAGTTTTATCATTCCCGATAATTGCTACATTTTTCTTTTCTTTCCATATTTCTCCAACGCTCAAAAATTCAACGTGACCAAGAGTTTTTTGTACCAGAGGACTTTGTAGCTTGAGGTTTTTTGTTGCAAATGGGCTTTCATCTAGACGTCGTCTCTTTCTGAGTCTGGGATCCAAGTTTGGTGGAGAGTCCCTGTAAGATAAAGCAATATGGAAAACTGATCAATCATGATGGATGGACGGACGGACAGACGGACGGATGGATGGATGGATGGATGGATAGATAGAACGATGGATGGATGGATTGAATGGGATGGATGGATGGATGGATTGATAGATAGAACGATGGATGGATGGATGGATAGAACGATGGATGGATGGATGGACGGACGGA